TTAAGGATAATGGAACCAATATGCAGAGCTAGGGAGGGAAGAGGAACATAGAATCACTGGTAGGTTGAAGACAGGGTAGAAGAAGGGAATATTCTGGCCGGAATGGGATCTTCTGGTCAGAGGAAAATTTCCAGGTTAAATGTTAGAGGAAGTGAAGTAACTAAGTAGTGGAATTGTGGTTGAGGATACAAAATGAAGGAAGTGTCAAAAGTTATTAGGGGGCTTAATGTTGCTCAATGGGGAGAAATTGTTAAACAAGATTGTAAATGTTGAGGCTTGAGCTTGTAACATTGTCAATCGGAGAGAGGGAGATTGAGTGGAGATCTTGCTTACCCAGATCAATTGCTGTAGTCAATTTGCCATGTAATCCTAGAAATTTGTGAATATCTGAATGGTAGATGTGTATGGTGAGAGTTTGGGACTGCTGGTAGATGATTGATGATGTGGTACATTGAGCAGACTAGTGGTGTGCTAGGGAGGAGATGTCACACACTGATGCATTCACTGACACCCCCCATGACATTTATTAAACACCTTCTGGTACTCCTGTCAGGTCCTTGAGGCTAGAGTGTGGGAATTTTGGCCACATTTAACAGTTGTGGGCCTGCTTAGTCCTTTGACCATAACCCTCTGTTACTAGGAGTCAGTTAGTTCAGTTGGCTGGACAGCAGATTTGCAATGCAGAGTGATGTCAACAATGTGGATTCAATTCCCACACCAGCTGAGGTTACCATGAAGAACTCTCGTTCTGAACCTCTTTACCTTGCCTGAGGCATCGTTCCTCTCAGATGACTTGTGGTGATTTAATCTCTGTAATAAGAGAATAGCCAATGGTTGATAGGACAAAGCAATTTTACCTTTCATGTGGAAATAAGTCTCTGTCTCTCTCCATTTGTCCACTCTGCAAGAGAGCTACTGCAGTTGTGATCGGTAGACGCTTCTTTTTACTCTGGTGTTGTTTCCTTTGTTTGGGATTGTAGTGCTAGAAGTCAGACACAACCCCTTGTGGTTCAGTGCAAGTTCCCCAGCTGATGGCTAACTGGGACATGTTAGGCCTTGCAGAATGTTAGGTTCCCAGCTGAGTGTGCAGCTAGCCTACAACTTGGGACATGCTGAACTTCAGGCAGAAAGCATTTAAGTCATTAAGCAGGAGGCAAATCATGAACCTTGTGTGCAAAATGTGTGCGAAACAATTTTTAGGTGTTAATTTTGATTATTCAACTTGAACACTTGGTCTGATTATCCAGTGATGTTGTCGTCTTTTTTCTCTTGTCAATTATACATGGGGATTTTCTTGAGAATTATGTGAATAGATGAGAAGATTTTCCTTTTCTTCAAGGATTTTCCATTTACTTTCCTGAAAATCCATTTTGCTACACTTTCAAATGTCTTTACAAATTGGTTTTAATGCCCTACTCTTTTTTAGAAAAGAGTAATTTGGCCAATATGAAATCAGTTAGACAATTACACTAATACAGCAGGTTTCTGAAATTAAAAACTCAATCTTCATTTCTATTTACAGCTCTCATCTCAGCACCCATATGCAGAGGTTTATATTGGGAAGCCCCATGTTTGGACAGTTGACATTGACAACCCCAGTGAAGTAAAGGAAACAATGCGTCAAATAATGGAACAGAAGGTAAGAAGAAAAACATATTAAGTACACACTTGTTGCACATTCATACTTAATTGTACTGTAAGTAATGAGTATTGTAAGAGACCTGAGGACATAGACAGGTTAGTAATTTAACGCAGAAGTGTAAAATAATGCAGTTTAGTAGGAAAAATTAGAAGAGACCTATAAACTAAATGGTACAATTTTAATAAATAGAGACCTGGGAATATAGAGTAGACAAAGCTTTGAAGGTGGCAGAACACAAGGAGCGTGCTACACCTTTATTGATCACAACTGGAATAATGTGTCTAATTCTGTATACCATATTTTGGAAAGAAGGTCAAGGCCTTGGAGACAGTGCAGATACGATTTGCTGGAATGCTGTCAGTGATGTGGGGCTGATGTTACATGGAGAGTTTACTGAAGCTAAGGTCATTCTTCTTTAGAGCAAAAATGATATTATGGAAAGATTTAACAGAGGTACTCGGAGTCACAAAGGGTTTTGACAATAAATCTGGACAAACTATTTCTAGTGATATAATTGTCAGGTGAAAGTGCTAAATTGGTAGAGGCTAATTACAACAATATTAGGCAGGAACTGAAGAATGTGGATTGTAGGCAGATGTTTGAGGTCAAATCAACATGTGGTATGTGGGAGGCTTTCAAGTGTAAGTTGCTGGGAACTCGGGACCGGCACATTCCTGTAAGGATGAAGGATAAGTATGGCAAGTTTAGGGAACCTTGGATAACGAGAAATATTGTGAGCCTAATCAAAAAGAAAAAGGAAGCATTTATCAAAGCTAGGAGGCTGGGTACACACGAAGCAAGGGTGGAATACAAGGAAAGTCAAAAGAAACTTAAGCAAGGAGTCAGGAAGGCTGAAAGGGGTCATGAAAAGTCATTGGCCAAACAGGATTAAGGAAAATCCCAAGGCTTTTTATACATGTATAAACAGCAAGAGGGTAGCCAGGGAGAGGGTTGGCCCACTCCAGGACAGAGAAGGCAATTTGTGTGGAGCTGCAGGAAATGGGCAAGGTATTAAATGAGTACTTTGCGTCAGTATTCACCATAGAGAAGGACTTGATGGATGATGAGTCTCGGGAAGGGTGTGTAGACAGTTTGGGTCATGTTGAGATCAAAAGGGAGGAGGTACTGGGGGTCTTGAAAAACATTGAGGTAGAAAAGTCCCCAGGGCCTGATGGGATATACCCGAGAATACTGAGAGAGGCGAGGGAGGAAATTGCTGGGGTCTTGAGGGAAATCTTTGCATCCTCACTGGCTACAGGGCAGGTCCCAGAGGATTGGAGAATAGCCATTGTTGTTCCTTTGTTTAAGGAGGGTGGCAGGGATAATCCAGCTAATTACAGGCCGGTGAGCCTTGCGTCAGTGGTAGGGAAATTATTGGAGAGGATTCATCGAGACAGGATTTACTCCCACTTTGAGATAAGTGGGCATATTAGCGAGAGGCAACATGGTTTTGTGAAGGGGAGGTTGTCTCACTAACTTGGTTGAGTTTTTTGAGGAAGTGACAAAGATGATCGATGAGAGTAGGGCAGTGGATGTTGTCTACATGGACTTCAGTAAGGCCTTTGACAAGGTCCCTCATGGCAGACTGATACAGAAGGTAACGTCACACAGGGTCAGAGGTGAGCTTGCAAGATGGATAAAAAACTGGCTCGGTCATAGAAGACAGGGCAACAGTGGAAGGGTACATTTCTGAATGGAGGGCTATGACAAGTGGTGTTCCTCAGGGATCGGTGTTGGGACCTTTGCTATTTGTAATATATATATAAATGATTTGGAGGAAAATGTAACTGGTCTGATTAGTAAATTTGCCAATGACACAAAGGTTAATGGAATTGTGGACAGCGATGAGGGCCGTCAAAGGATACAGCTGGGTATAGATCGGTTGGTGACTTGGGTAGAGACATGGCAGATGGAATTTTAATCTGGAAAAATGCGAGGTAATGCATTTCGGAAGGTCTAATCCAGATGGAAAATGTACAGTAAATGGCAGAAGCCTTAAGAGCACTGATAGGCAGAGGGATCTGGGTGTACAGGTACACAGGTCACTGAAAGTGGCAACACAGATGGAGAAGGTCGTCAACAAGGCATACAGCATATAGAACATAGAACAGTATAGCACAGTACAGGCCCTTCGGCCCACGATGTTTTGCCGACCTATTATCCTACTAAGATCAATCCACCCTGCATACCCTACATTTTACTATCCTCCACGTGGCATGCTTGCCTTCATCGGCCGGGGCATTGAGTTTAAAACTTGGCAGATAATGTTGCGGCTTTATAGAACCTTAGTTAGGCCACATTTGGAATATTGTGTTCAATTCTGGTTGCCACACTACCAGAAGGATGTGGTGGCTTTGGAGAGGGCACAGAAAAGATTTACCAGGATGTTGCCTGGTATGGAGCGCATTAGCTATGAGGAGAGGTTGGAGAAATTTGGGTTGTTCTCACTGGAACGACGGAGGCTGAGGGGCGACCTGATAAGGTCGACAAGATTATGAAGGCCATGGACACAGTGGACAGTCAGAAGCTTTTTCCCAGGGTGGAAGAGTCAGTTACGAGGGGCCATAGGTTTAAGGTGCCAGGGGCAAGATTTAAAGGTGATGTACGAGGCAAGTTTTTTTACACAGAGGGTGGTGGGTGCATGGAACTCGCTGCTAGGGGAGGTAGTGGAAGCAGATACGATAGTGACTTTTAAAGGCTGTCTTGACAAATACATGAATAGGATGGGAATAGAGAAATGCGGTTCCCGGAAGGGGAGAGGGTTTCAGTTGTGACAGGCAGCATGTTGGTGCAGGCTTGGAGGGCCAAAGGGGCTGTTCCTGTGCTGTAACTTTGTTTGTAACCAAAGGAGATACGTTTAAGGTAACTTGAAAAAAAACAGAATCAGGAACAGGAATTTTTGTACAGCACTTTGATATGAATGCACTGTCTTACAGTGCGGTGGAAGTAGATTTAATAACTACTTTGAAAAGACAATTGGATAATAACTTGAAGCGGAAATATCGGTGGCGCTAAATGAATAGCTATTTCAGAAGGCTGACACAAGGAGGAATGGCCACTGTGTTGTGTCATTCTTCTACGACAAATCACTGAAGCAAGGCAGACCAATCTGCTACATATTGTAAAAATCATGGCTGATTTTTAAAGAGTGGAGGTTGATTTCATTGTTCATTGGATATATCTGATATGTGATGGATGGAATTTAACAGAGAGAAGTGTAAGGTTATGCCATTTTGGCACCAGGGGAAGGATAAAACCATACTGACTAAATTACACCATTTTGGTTCACAGGAACAGAAAGACACTAGGGCTGGGGTTGAGGTAGGGGTACAAAAGCAAAAGAGCTATGCTGACCTACAAGTGCCAACCCACATCTAGAGTATTGCATCGAATTATGGTCAGCACACTTTAAAGCACATCTAAGGATCATTAAGCAGGTGCAGAGGAAATTTACCAGAATGTTTCCAGTGATGCTACAAATTTAAATTGGAGATTCTGAATTCATCTACATGAAGCAACAGAATCTGAGGAACGATGTTATAGATATGTTTGTGATAATGACGACAGGTTTACATAAAGTAGACAAGGAAAAGTCGTTCCTATTAACTGATTGTAAAAGGTAACTTGAAAAAGAACCAGAGGATGCAGAATTGAGCTACATTTGCAGGGATGGTGTGAGAAAGAACCTTTTCGTACAGCAAATTGTAGTGCTGCAAGAGTAGTGAAAGTAAAGCTGATGAATAAATGATTTCAAAATGAAGTTGCCACTGACCAGATTGCTCTACTGAGAACTAGCATAGACTTGATTTGCCGTATGGTCTGCTTCTGTGCCATTATGACTGTTTATGTTGTGTACCACTACATTTGATTAATTTCATTTTCTCTAAATCAAGATTTGTAAATATTCAAGTTAATATACTGTACTTTTTGAGAAACAGGTGTAACTAATGTAGAACAGGAATAATTCATTGTTGTACTGTAGCTCCCTCTAAAGGCTAAGTTAGGTTTAACTTGATCATTTACACTGGAGGAATATTTAACTTTTTAGTGTGTCATTTTTATTGGAGTACTTTTGCCATTCTTGCTAAAAAATAGAGCACCATTTTAATGATAGTAGTGGTCTCATTGCTGTACCATTCTGAGTCGTTGACCCATTCTGCCTTTATTGTGATATAGTCAGCAGTGCAGAACTTATTGATTTTTTTTTTTGTTTATCTTTTATAGGGTGCAAATATCACTGGCAACGTCAACATTTGTTGCCCTTCCATAATGTTTGATTTGCAAAAATATACCTTATTCATAAAATATCTCCAAGTACATTACAAAACAATTCAAATCAAACATTGCAAAAGGTGCAATAAAATATCATGTTTGTCAGGCAACACCATGCAGTCTTCAGTATCTCAAACCAAATACAAAATTGGAACATGTGCTAAATATGTTAAGATTTACATGCATCATAAAACAAGCATACACCCCAACAGATTTTATAGGTTAACAGTCTCTCAGTATATTATGGCAGAAAGACATCAGGTGGTGGACTTTCTTCACTGTGCTTTGCCAATGGCTGCCCCATTTAATATGAGAACATTGGAACTAGGAACCGGAGTAGGCAATTCAGCACTCAAGCCTTCTCCTCCAATCAACACTATCGTGGCTGATCTCATCTCGGTCTCAATTCCACTTTCCTGACCACTCCCCCTAACCTTTCAACCTATTACTAATTCAAAATCTGTCCATCTCCTTAAACTTACACAATGTCCCAGCATCCACTGCACTCTGGACTACTGAATTCCACAGATTCACTATCCTTTGAGAGAAGTAATTTCTCACCATCTGTTTCAAATTTACTACTCCTTTTTATCTTATAAGTATGACCTCACGTTCTAGATTGCTTCACAAGAGGAAACCGCCACAGCCCCCCTTTTTAGCAGCTTATAAAATTCAATTAGATCTCCTCTCATTCTTCCAAACTCTAGAAGATTATAAGCCTAAACTGCTGCATCTCTCTTCATTAAGACAAACCCCTCACCTTTGGAATCAATCTAGTGAATCTCCTCTGAACTGTCTCCATTGCAACTACATCCCTCCTCGAGTAGGGGGACCAAACCTATACACTGTACTTCAAGTACAGTCTCTCAAATGTCTTGTAAAGTTACGTAACATTTCCCTAAATATTTATGCTGTTCCTTCAGCAACAAATGCCAAAATTCCATTTGCCTTTCTTATTATCTGCTGTACTGACATACTAATTTTCTGCGATTCATGCACAAAGATACCCAGATTCCTCTGCATCGAAGCACTTTGAAGTTTCTGTCCATTTTGATAATAAGTTGCACTTCTGTTCTTCTAGTCTGTCCCTCAGCAAGTAAACCTGGACTTTGGAATGTAGCAGTATGCAATACTCAGTTGACGCAGAGTATCTTTCACCAGTTTGATGGTCCTCCAGGTGCAGTTAGGTATGTCTCGGTGTATAGGCTTGTGAACTGCCAGTAAAACATTCTAAATTATATGCCCAGCACCATCAGGTAATCTGATCTGATAGTGAAGAATCTAACAGCCCAGTTCCTCGAAAACATGGCCTTGCCTCAATTCACATGGCTTCCAAAGCAGTTCAAACTGGTCACGAATACTCATGGGTCTGGCCACTGACATCAGACCCAAGCAGAAAAGAAAGATGTCATGCAAGTACCCATCCCTAATGGCCTTTGAATGGGTCGGCTTGCTAGGGCATTTGAGAGGGCACTTAAGAGTCAACTGTACCGCTGTGGGTCTAGAGTTACATTAAGGTCAGACCAGGTGAGAATGACAGATTTCCTTCCTGAAAGGACATTGGTTAAAACAGGCAGATTTTTAGAATATCAACATTGTTTTGATATAACAAAAAACTAAAATAATGGAAAACACTCCAGAGGTTGGAGAGCTTCTGTGCAAATTGAGAGAAGCTGGGTTAACACATCAGCTTGATTACTTAACATTTTTCTTCTGATGAAAGATAATTAGCAAGTGTTGATCTAGGGAAAAATGCAAGAAGGAGGAAAACAGAAAAAGGAAGGTCTGTGGTAGGGTAGAAGGTGAAGACAGGTGTGATTAAATTAGCGGTTTTGGTGCAAAACAAAAGGAATTCATGATGAGAAAGTTTTTTTAAAAAATTTCTAGACCAGGTGTAAATTGCTATAGTGGAACAGCAGAGGGGGAAGGAAGCATATAAAATCCGGCAAGGAGAAGAATGACCCTGCGTGTTCGGAGGACAAGGTGGGCATTGGTCAGACCTGTGAATCAGCCCAACAGCTCATTTGCTGATAATGAATTCCTAGCCTCCAACTCCACTAAATATTTGGTACTGCCATTACAACAATCTGACAAATGGGAGCCAAGTTGAAGATATTTCAAGAAATGCTGAATATCATGAAGATATCTGAAATACAAATGGTGATTCTAAAATTGGAATTCATGTAAAAGGACAAAGCCTAGATTTAACTGTTATCTAAAAGATGACCCCTCAGTCAAGCACACAAATATAGCACTACTGTCTTAGTTTTAGTAGTGTGAAGTATTGCTGAGTTATAAATGCAATAGAGACCCAGTTTTTGGAGCTCTGCCTCACTCTTGCCTTTCATTCAGAAGGCTATGGGTTCAAGTTCTGCTTCAAGGTTTTGAGCATTAAGTCTATATAGATACTGTGGTGCAATATTGTGGAAGAGTGGTATTGGCTCGGATGACATTTTCCAGATGAGACGTTAAACTGAGGCTCTATCTGCTTTCTTCATACAATGGAAAAGATTTCTGGATGTTTGAGGAATGGATGAGGATCCTGTCTGATGTCTTGGAGAATAGTTATCTTTCAATTAACAATATTAACCAAATTAAACAAACCTGGTTGTGATTTCATTGGATTTCTGAGAGCTTACTTTTTGCAAATTGGCTACTTCATTACCCTACAATTGAGGTGGTGACCACGTTCCAAATAGATACTCAAATGTTTTTGAGTAGATTTGTAGCTTGGGTTTCGCATGTTGTGGTTGGTTGGCTCGCTGAGCTGGTTTGTTGTTCTGCAGACGTTTCATTACCCTGCTGGGAAACATCATCAGTGCAGCCCCCGATGAAGCGCTTTTGTGTTTTCCTGTCTGGTGTCCGTTGAGCTGGGTTACCTCACTTCCGGTTTTCCTTGGCAGTGGAGCATATATAGGGTCTAGCTCTGTTTGTTGATGGCCTTCTTAGTGGAGAACCAGGCCTCTAGGAATTCCCGTACTTGCCTCAGGATCCTGGTGTTGTCCCAATCAAACTGTGGTTTTCCTTGTTCATGTGGATGGAGATGAGTGAGAATTGGTCGTGTCTTTTTGTTGCTAGTTGATGTTCGTGTACTCTTGTAGCTAATTTTCTTCCTGCCTGTCCAATGTAATGTTTGTCGCAGTCTCTGCAAGGAATCTTACATATGATGGTTCTGTCCATAGTGGGTAACGAGTCTTTGGTTCGGATTAGTAGTTGGCGTAGGGTTGATGGGGGTTTGTGTGCTACTCTGATGCCCAGCGGTTGTAGGAGTCTTGTCAGTTCAGATATGTTCTTGATGTATGGTAGCGTGATGAGTGTGTCAAGGCATGCAGTATCTTCCTGTTGTTGTTTGTGTAATAGGCATCGTCTGACCCCATTGTTCAGGTATCCGTTGTCCTTGAATACTTGGAGGAGGTACTACGCCAAAAAAAAGAAAAGTATCTCCAAGTATTCAAGGACAACAGATACCTGAACAACTGGGTCAGACGATGCCTATTACACGAACAACACCAGGAAGATACTGCATGCCCTGACACACTCATCACGCTATCATACATCAAGAACATATCTGAACTGACAAGACTCCTACAACCGCTGGGCATCAGAGTAGCACACAAACCCCCATCAACCCTACGCCAAGTGCTAACCTGAACCAAAGACTTGTTACCCACTATGGACAGAACCAACATCATATACAAGATTCCTCGCAGAGACTGCGACAAACATTACATTGGGCAGAAAGGAAGAAAATTAGCCACAAGAGTACACGAAGACCAACTAGCAACAAGACACGACCAATTCTCACTCATCTCCATCCACATGGACAAGGAAAACCACCAGTTTGATTGGGACAACACCAGGATCCTGAGGCAAGCACGGGAATTCCTAGAGGCCTGGTTCTCCACTAAGAAGGCCATCAACAAACAGAGCTAGACCCTATATATGCTCCACTGCCAAGGAAAACCGGAAGTGAGGTAACCCAGCTCAACGGACACCAGACAGGAAAACACAAAAGCGCTTCATCGGGGGCTGCACTGATGATGTTACCCAGCAGGGTGATGAAACGTCTGCGGAACAACGAACCAATCAGCCACAGGATACTTAAATGGTTGAAATGTGGTTTGGGATGGCCTGAGGTCATGATGTTCTTTCTTCCTTTCGTGATAACATAATCAACATTGTCTGCTTTTTCTTTCGAACAGGTTGACCCATATTTGCCATATGAATTCACAAGTGAAGGAATGCTGGAGAGATTAAATGTTTTTATTGAAAAACAAGTACGTATAATTATTTAACTTGAGAATATTAACATAAAAAATCATATTTCCAAATGGATCCGGGTTGTAAAAATGCTAAATATACAATATAAAAAAACTTTTAAAATATCCAATGATTTGATAATTATATCCAGTATATAGCTGAGACATATAGACCAGCAAGTTTCTGTTTTGATCCCCAGTTAGAATTGAGTTAGAAGATCTCTGGTGAATTGGTAGTTAGAGCTTATTTATGAGATGTGACTTGAGGAAAATTAGCCCAGTTGCAACTGGAACTGTGTGCTCATCCTTTGTTCAGGATCCGTACTGTTCCCTTCGTTGCCAACATCTACATGATAGTTGTAACTCAGTGTATTAATGAACTGGATGTCATGACTTTTGCACAAACCCTCATGATTCATCAGTCTTTCTAATGGCTGCCTGCAGATACTTAGGCGAAGCAGGGCGAGATATCAATTGCTTAGGTGCTTTTATTTTATTTTACCAGTAGCAATTCAATATACAAAGTAGAAAATGCAATCATGTTTCTTCTGGATTCAACTATCTATATAAACCTCAAAATAAACTGGAACATTTATACAAGAATGCCACACTCCTTGCTGTAGGCTTCCTTAATTAACATTTCTAGTTAATAGTCTGATTTTGATTAGCTCTGGACTTGAGAAAAGAGTTCTCCATTGCTGAACCAGACGTTACTCCACTGTTAGTTGGCTGTCTGACTGGCCCTTCTATTTATACTCTGTTCACACTATGTAGAATGCTTTTTTTGTAATTCATCAGTAGGAATTGTCAGTATCAATCAAATAAATGCCCCATCCCCCTTCCTGAAGATGCATTCTTAATGAACACCACATTGTGGCTTCAAATGAATAGAACTGAGCATAAGTCTACAGATGTAAACGTTTCTGGAAACTCTAAATGATAGTTATCATCAGAATTCTGAAGTCTGCTCCCATTTATCCTTGCATTTTAGTCAGTCTCCTTTTTGTCTGTGAGATAATGTTGGGCAACTTGTCTCATGGAAAAGCACATTGCACAATGCATACGGTTCTGCATTTCTTATCAAGCAACCAGATAGTGTCCCCTGGAACTGCATCCAGCAATCTGCCCCTAAGCAGTAAATGTGAAATACTTTCGTAGTTTGTTATGCTTTTGTTTACCAGACATATCTGCTGTGTATTTTTGAGCTCTTCTTCTCTACAAACAGAGATTGGATTCTTCCTTGGTTTCTGAAATTTCTGCCTTTGTGCTTCAGGCATTACATCTTGAGTGCTTTTCTGTTTATGTTGTGCTGACAGTCCTATTCATATCTGCCACGTGTTTTTTTTATTAAACTATAGAGTATGGAGGTTGCTGTCAAGGTCAGCATTAATTTCTTATCCATTATTAGTGATAATGCAAGTATTTTTTGGACCACTCAAGTGCCACATAATTCTGGCTGTTCTAAAAAGACAGGCTAACCAATTCCCTTTAACATTCCATGGCATTACTGTCATTTGCATCTCACCATCAAACAACACTCATTACCAAGCATTGGTCATGACAATCAGAAATGTAAATGCAGCGGCCACATAAATACTGAGCTACCAGAGGTTGGTGTTCTATGGTAAGTAAGTCCTGAAAACCTTTGCAATATTCTTAATTTATCTGGAGAATATGGCAGTGGGTCATTTTCCTGAACTGCTACAGCGTTTGGTCCAAGGAAACCCAGAATATTGTTTGATAGGGATGCTCTGAGTTTTGATCCGGTAACAGAGGGGGAGTGGTATCTTTCCAAGTGTGCATGTGTCTAGGAGAGGGAAATTGGTGATCCAACATGCTTGCTGCCTGTGTTGTAGGCAATTGAAATCATGAGTCCAGAAGGTATTGTCAAAGAAGCCTTGGTGAGTTGCTGCAGTGCGTCTTTTAGATGGTACATACTGCAACAAATTGTGTCTGTGACTTGGAGGGAGTGAACGGTTAAGGTGGTGGATAGAGTGCTGATAAAGCAGGTTTCTTTGGCCCATTTTGATTTTGAGCATATTTGATGTTGATGCAGCTGTAATTGTCCAGATAAATTAAGAATACTGCAAAGGTGTTAGGGCTTTATTTACTATAGAATACCCAGCCTCCGGTAGCTTAGTATTTATCTGGTTGTTGTATTTACATTTCTGTCATGACCAGTGCTTGGTAATAATGTTGTTTGATGTTAAGAGGTACAATGATAGTAGTGCCATTGAATGTTAAAGGGAAATGGTTAGACTTTCTCCTGATGGAAGTGTGAATACTTGCCACTTATTAGACCAACCTAAATGTTGTCCAGGTCTTGCTCCATCTTTCCAGACATTGATTCATGTGTTATACTCCTGTTTCTCCTCACGAGCCTGTCGTAAAAGAATTGATCTGGAGGTTATGACATTTTGAGGCTCTGCGTGTTCTTTCCTCCTCCTAACATCATCATCCTTTTTACCTCTGCTGTTGATATAAATATGGACCGTCACTTTTGGTGGTTCATCCTGTGGTCTATCATCCCCCTTCTGAATGTTCTGAAGTCACTTAGTGGCAACCTGCACCCTGGTATAGGGAAGCAACATACCACCCTAGAGTCATATCTGCAGCAACAGAAATTGCTGTCTATTCTGCAAACTGTGGAATTCCTCTATCAGCAATGCTTTTCTGACCATCCTCATCCAATACTGTCCATTGTGTACTACCACCATTGATGCTCATCAACTTGTCTTTAACACTAATTCCAAAGAAACCATCACCCTCAACAGCAGAATATCAGTTATACTCAATCTCCTTATTTTGAACTCTCTGGTAGAGTGCCATCAGGGACTTGCTACCTGTAATTCTCCTGATCTATTTCTGAACTCTCTGAAGTCCACGTTATCTAATCTCCAAGCTCACTGAGTCTTGAAAACTGATCACTGAAAGACAGATTGCTTCTCACACTGTTTCCCTTAAGACTTGTATTCTCTGCTCTGACTGACTTCTCTTAATCATTTTATCCTGTTGCCTGCTCCACTGTTTCAGGATTGTGCACTCCAATCTCTTTATCAGGTAAGTTAGTATCTCAGGTAGCTATTACCAGCTGTTGAAAGTTCCAAGTTGCACTTTGTAGTGGTTGGACAAATGTACGTGAAGGCATTTGTAAAAGGTGTCATATTCAACTCTAATCATAAAGTGGTTCTTTGTTAAAACATCCTCCTAAACCCCTCTCCGAGATGCAAATTGGGGCAAATTGTATGCTGCATTTATTGTTAATACCACCACTAGGTGGCACAGTGCTCATGCATGCTCAAGTTTGCAGTGTCTTGTCAGTTCAAAGTGAGGAAACTGCAGCTTCCAGGAATCTCATCTGTGATTTCTGTTTAAAAGTATTTTCCAGGGTTTGCGGCCTACACAAGATGTTTTCAGAGCCACCTAATCTAGCTGTTCCCTCTGCCCAGCCAAAAACGCACTGATAGTCACTCGCTTGTCAGATTTACAGTCTGTTCCCAGCATACCTCCCTGCTAAGGAGGAGAAACACCATCTTCTCTCTGGCCCTTTACTGTAGTCTTTTGATCAAACCTTCCCCCTGAGATGTTGACATCACTGCACAGAATGTGACAATATCAGTGGTGGAATTTCCTGTGGCCTGTTAACCTAATGCAAATGCTTGGGCTATCATTTTGGTGTTTCGAGTAATCACTTTGTTTTAGATTTTGGGGCAGTATCGTCACGCATCTGTATTTAAGATGGTTTAAAATGCTCATAAAAATGGATAGCACTGCTGTAGCCAAGAGACCCAAAATTGTAATATCCCAATTCATAGCTCTGATTCTGAATGTTCAATTCACTGCAGTTGATCCAGAATGCTTTGAATCTGATCTTGTACATTTCATGTCTTTACTACAGGATTTTTGCCGTCAAAGAGAAAAATGGCCACCGCTGACTGCACTTAGAGTTAAAATGGCCAAACCTTCCCAGTCATGTGTTGAAGCCTGCCAAAGAGAGCAATTAATCTGTGAACCTGCCTTCTTCTATCAACTCAACAAAGAAGTTGAGCTTCAGAGGTAAGAGTTCCGCTCTAAGCTTAATATTGTCACTGTACCACCTCCTGTTACAGGGAAATTCTTAAGCTCAAATCTTATTTAGAAAACAGAAATACTGTGCGTACAGATATTCAAATGACTTGATTCAAAATTGTTTTTATTATCCTATCACAAGTTAAATTAGAATCATAGAATCCCTACAGTGTGGAAACAGGCCCTTCAGCCCAACATGTCCACACCGACCCATGGAGCATCCCACCCGGACTCATCCCCCTATAACCCACCTAATCTACACATCCCTGAACACTATGAGCAATTTAGCATAGCCAGTCCACTTAGCCTGCACATCTTTGGACTGTGGGAGGAAACTGGAGCACCCGGAGGAAACCCACGCAGACGCAGGGAGAATGTGTAAACTCCACACAGACAGTCGCCCGAGGGTGGAATCAAACCCGGGTCCCTGGCGCTGTGAGGCAGCAGGGTTAATCACTGAGCCATCGTCCCGTCCTCAATTCTTCATGAAATAGATAAGTACTGTAAGTGACAAGTAAGCTTGTAAAACCAAAGACAGGATTTAGGTAACTGGGAAATTTGTTTTTTTGTTGGCCCCTATTTTCACAAAGTGACTAATACAACAGCCATATGAATGATGTCATGATGCAGTAGTTCTATGGACTATAAATGCCTCTTGACCATATGGCAACTACTAATATCCACAGTCAAAAATTTAGTTGCAAAATTAATTACCATTAGATTATGTCTTGTGGTTGTTTCAAATGCTGCTTTTGGAGATATTGAAGTTCATACTCCATAATAAAATCGTTTCTAGCTTCACCGATTTGAATATTGGTTTTAAACAATCACAAGATCTTCCAATTGTATAGATCCTTATTTCTTGGAGAGATTAGTTAAACTTATGAGAAAATGACCACCAACAGTCACCTCTATGAAGCAACACAGTGATATAACTTTACATAGCAGTAAAATAGATGACTGCCACTGATGCAGGTAAATGGCGTTTGGTGCCATGCAGCCTGGTAGCTGATTTATGCAGGTATTTGTTGATACTCCTCCTCCAACTATGAGTTAGGCAGCTTCACAAACAACCTCCAGACTATTATGTAAGCACCAAACACACTAAACTTCTACTTGCCAAATGTATTTGGAGTTCCTGTAGATAGGCTTTACAGGACTTTGCTTCATTTCATATTGGGAGTTTACCAACAGCTGAAGAGAGGAAATAAAGTACAGCTAGATTTCTCAAAAGCTGTACTCGGACATAAACACCGTACCAAATGTCAGGTCAGAGAACAGAACACTCATTTCTACTTGTCTGTGTGACCATAACCTTTCAACTTGGAGGCAGAAATTCTAACATTGGACTCGGGTTCACTCATTGTCTTTTCTCTCTATTGAAGCAAAACTTTGTTCTTCAATCTAAGTGACTGGACTTATCAATTTTATTCTAACTTATGATCTTATCCAGCCATCAACAGAATTGAATTTTGAAGAGATAAAAATAAAATGCCATAATATGATCACATTGGTTGATTCGTTATTTAAAAATAGCTATTGTGTTTAGCATGAGAGAAAATAAACAACCAACTAAAGTACCTGTACTAGATATGGACATATGACTAGTACTTGATCATGACTGGATGAGTGAGCAATTGATTCCATGGATTTAAATACAGCACATCAGTGAATCGTGTCACCACCCAAAAGGAGAGAATCAGTCTGAAAAGTGATGAAAAAAAATTATCCTCGGCATATAGTATTGAATAAGATATTTTGTTTAAAAGAACATATGAGAAAGCAGTTTCAAAGTGACAAGAACAATTTAAAATATACTTTTTAGCAGTAAGGCCTTCTGGCTACATTGGCAACATCATTATCATTATAACCACTGCAAACCAGCATTGTTATGAATATTGAATGAGATATGAAATAACACATAGGTAGTCATATTTTGAGGTGTTCATATGACGAATTGAGTGCTTTCAATCAGTGCTTTGAATGAAATACATTGTTTGACTAATTTATTAGAAATCTTTAAGGAAGTAAAAGTAATTTCAATAACGGAGAATTTGTAAACATGTGTTTGGAATTCCAGAAGCATTTGACAATGTGTCGCATCAAAGGTTGCTATACAAAATAAGAATTTCTGGTATAGAAGGTAATAGAGTTGCATGAATAGAGGATTGATTGGTAAACATTGCTAAAGTTAAAATTGCAAAGGAAATAAAATTTAAAAGCAGGGAAGTGTTGCTTATGTTGGACATTGGTGAGGCTATATCTAGAGTGCTGTGTACAGTTTGGCTTCCTTATTTAAGAAAGCACATAATTGCATTGGAAGCAGTTGAAGGAAGGTTCAGTTAACTAACTCCTAGGATGAGGGTTTATCTTGAGGAAAAATTGAACTAGTAGTGCCAATATCATTGGATTTTGGAAGAATGAGACCTGACCTTAATAAACATAAGATCCTGAGGAGACTTGTCAAAGTGAATGCTGAAAGGACTTATCCCCTTCTGGGTGCAACTAGAACTGGCGAACATAGTTGGAACTTAAGGGGGTTGGATGGTGACAAGATTTTTTTTCCTCCCAGATAGCCGTGAATCTATGGAATTCTCATCCCTAGAGAACAGCGGAGGCCATGTTGTTGAAGGTTTCAAAAGCTGAGTTTGATAGATTTTTGACTAATAAGAAACTCCTAAATGGGTAGGCAGAAAAGGAAAGTTGAGGTCACAATCAGATCAGCCATAATCTTAACAAATTGCACAGCAGGCTCAAGAGGGCTTTGCTACTCCTGCTCCTAATTTGTTATTTCATTACATATAAAAAAACAGAGAGAATATGGTTCCAAATAAAACACAATGTGACATGATAATGTTTTATTTCACTGTTTGCTGTTGTATGATCGCAGGAAACAAGAAAACTTGTATATACTGAGACATAACATCATGTGTTATCAGAAATCTAATCAAGTATTTTCCTGATATTCTACGAACAAGGAGGAAGCAAACATAGGAATGGGAATGGGTAATTTAGCCCTTCAAGTCTTTCCCACCATTCATGAATTGGTTGAGACTTGCCTGATATTCTTTAATACTTTTGGCTATCAAAAATATATTGACCTCAGTTTTAAAATTAATGTTTGAGATTTATGTGCATAATTGTCAACATGAGATTTGTGAAAAATTATTTATTTTCTTTTGTAGATATGAAATATACTGCAATTCTTTAAAAACAGAAAGTGATTTGTATCTGCCAGCATTTAACCCGGAAAACAAAATGTGCCTGTTCCAGTCGGATTACTTACTCTTCAGCTGTGCAGGATCACATGAACATTACAATCGAATCTGTCCATGTCGAGATTATGTCAAAGGACAGGTTGCTTTCTGCCAGGATTGTTTGAAAAATGAAGCACATAACTAAGCTTGTATCAGAGATGGTAGGAACTGCAGATGCTGGAGAATCTGAGATAACAAGGTGTAGAGCTGGATGAACACAGCA